TCCTTTTAGTATTCCATTTTCCTCTCACAGAATTACTAAATTACAATCGGTGCAATATTTTGATTAACCACGACTGAGCTTGATTATCGATTAGATCATCATAAGCATCTCCTTGACTATGACGTTTTATAAAACTGCAGGTAATTCTAAGCCAACCTTAAACAGGATAGTGACCTAATATGTGTTTGCATATTGAAAAAAAGTCTTCATCGAGTTACTTTTTCATTATTGATATTTCGTGACTTTGGAATGATTTTTTTACGTTTCCAACAAAGCTCTTTTTTTCTCATTTCTAAATAGTTGCAAACCCAGCACTCGTGCAATATCACATTGCTCCTGCTTCTTTAGTATCAATCCATAACAGGCAAAAATGGTTTACGGCATTTTCAATTGATGTTTTTTTTCAAATTAACGAATATATCGTCAATGTAGTAGTTAGTTGCTTCACTAATATCTGCATTGAGATTCAATGTACTCTCTAAAATTAAATACATAATTTTGGGGCAGAATTTAATCAAAAATCAAGACGTGTAAGTATTTTTCTTCTTCGTAGATTACCCTCTGTTGCTCCCACAAAATTGGATCAATGTGTAACTGTAATTTTTTTTTGTAATTTTTGTTACATGCTTTTAACTAGCCATTTTTCATTCATGAGTCAAATTCTTCATTAAATTGATGTATCAACAGGAGTTTTAACAGAAATTCTTAGTTGCGATTTGCCTTGTTTCGATTAATATTTAGGAATCCAATAAGCATCAAAAAACTTGTTCTTTATACCAATATCTTGTTTCTCTGTATAAACTGAAACAAAACCAAATTCAATTTTTCTATTTTTTTTTTCATGGATGCCATACTGCCAAATTAGCTTGTTAATACACAGTTTTGTTTATTTTTATTTTTAATTCTGCTCTTTTTAAATCCTTTTTACATAGTTTTATACATAAACTAAAATTTTAGAGGGCGTAATTGTATACAAAAATTGCTAATGACATGCAGTAATTAATTGCATCAATGAACTTAATAATACTATGACAAAAATAGTTATAAACATAACAATAAAATTTTCGATCACAATCAGCCAATTTTAAAATTAACGATCAGCCATCATTACATTTTAAAAATCAAAACATTTTTACAAGAAAAAACGCGATATCTCAAGATTAACTTTTAAAATCTCTAGCTAAAAAGAAAGTTGTTAAAATTAAAAAGAAAGATATCGATGCAAGTATTAATTTCAATTGTAAAACTATGTGTTTAAAAGAGGTAACATGATAGTTTATCGATCATCTTTTTGTAAACTTATTTATATAATACGAAGAATAAGTAAAAATTCATGTATTCTTCCATGAACAAAAAACATAACTTATACTTTAACTTATTATTACATTAAAACATTCATTTTTTTCTAATTAAGCCATGAACCCAGGTTACTTAACTGCAGATTTTAGTGTAGACTGAACCAAACGTAAAAGTATTCTAGTCTACACGACACTTAGTTTTGATAATCGCACGAACAATTCGTGTTTGGAGATTTTGGCCTAAAATTAACGCCGTTCATCAGTACGGTTTTTCATTTTAGTTTATTATATAGGTCTTACTCTTTTCCTTCCTAAAAAAATTCACCACTTGTTATTTAAGAAATAATTTATACTTAATTATTTCTTATATTTATTTGTAAAAACACAAAACGAAATAAAAATCAAAACTTTGAAATGACTGTTATTCTGCTACCAAAAGGAAAGCTAAATAATTAACAAAATTACTTATTTATAATAGTATAACATTTAAAAATCGATCAGCATTATGTTATTTTACATTTATTTATAAAAATTATCAGAATAACTGAATAAATTTTTTTCGTTTTTAATTTTTTTTTTAAGTGCCCTAAGAAGTCTTTACGATCTTATCACAGAGCAACGCGTAAGAGCGTTTGAAAAGAAGTTCACGCCTCCTTCCTAACCATTTTTAAAAAACTGGTATTGTATTTGAGTATACTATAACTATGGTATAGTGTTTGAGTATAGTATAGTGTACGTGTATAGTATAGTATAGTGTCTTTGTATAGTAAAGTGTAGTACCTGCGTATAGTGTAATATAGTGTCTGTCTATAGTATAGTACATTGTCTGTGTATATTATAGCATCTTGTATGGTATAGTGTCTGCATTTGTATAGTATAGCGTCTGTATATAGTATAGCATCTTGTACAGGATAGTGCCTGTATTTCTTGTATCTTGGTAAACACAATTTTATGATCTGCTTTGTGATGGAGTGTTGATTTCTTAAATGCAGTTGGTTGGTATTTAAAGGGTTTCTGCAATTGATAGTTTCAAATTTCTTTTAGATTTTATATTGATAGACTAGGTCACCCTTTGTATTTCTTGTTTCTAAAGACGTAATTCCTTATCTTTTTAGCCAGTCTTCATACCTGTAATTTCTAAACTCATTAATAATTTTTTTTGTTTTTTGTTTATATCGTATTACAGTTTACAATTATATAATTAGTAATACAATTTTATAAATAACTTTATAAATTAAAGCTTTACAAATATAAAAAAGGTTTCTGATAGAAGATCTCATTGATCTTGTCGTCAGAACCTTTTAAAAGCGTAAAAGCAACAACAACAGCAAAACTAAATAAAAAATTAAATTTTATACAGTGAGTTATTGCATATTAAAAGTAATTCATTATATCGTTTATAGAAAAAATAAATTTTTTTAGTATGTTTAAAAAGTTTAAATGAAGTTGATAAATCTAAATTGTTCGAAGCAATTTTGTTGTAGAGATAAGGTGTACCATATCCAAAACAAAATTGATTAAACTTTGTACGACAAAGTGGTTCATTTAAAAAAATTTTCATTTCGCAAAATATATTTTTTAGATAAAAAAATCTTTACATATAGTTAGTGCTGAATCATAATACATTAAAACTTTACATTAAAACAAAAACACAAAATTTTATAAATGTTGAGTTAATATAGATTAAGGATATTCGCATCTTTAAATAAAATATTTGAATGCGTTAAACGATTTTTAAAATATATTAAACGCATGGCGATTTTCTGACGATTGTAAAGAACTTGCATTTTACTTTTGCTTGTGCTTCCCCAAGCAATATTGGCATAGTTGATATAACTATGCATAAAGGAGTAGTAGCGTTGCATTAAACTCTTTTTATCTAAATAATATCTGATCTTAAATATGATGCTTTTAGCAACTTTATTGCTAATATAGTCATAAGAGATTTCCATGTAATATTTTCATCAAACATTATTCCAAAAAACTTTGTGGCAGCTCTTTTTATTTCAATTTTATCAATATATAGTTTTGACAAGGTTTAGCAACAATCGTTTTTTCGATAATGGGTGAAACAGAATACACTTTGTTTTGTCTATGTTTAAAGTTAATTTATTATTAAAAATTTATTATTATATTTAAACCAGTTAGATATAAGCTTAAGTTCTTTATTCATTTCGTAGAACAGTTTCGTAATGCTAAGGTCTGATGCAAACAAATTTGTATCATCAGCAAACGTGATGTTTTTTAAGTTAGCTTTATAATATTCTGATTTTTCTCTTGAATTGTATCTCTTTTAAGAAAAAGTTTAAATAAATTATTTTGTCTATGTATGTATACTTTTAAAAACTACTTATAAAAACTAACTTAAAATTTCAAAGAGGTGCTCTGAAACCTTAGTGCTCAGACCTCTAGGTTTTTGAAAAGGCTCAGAGGTCTTTATGCATTGAATTACTTGCACTATTTAGATGCACTTTGAAAAGACTCAGAGATCTTTTCAAATCGCGGAAGACCTTTTAACTTGGAAGTTCACGTCTCCTTCCCTACTGGTGTCGCAAATATGGTCAAAACTGATGTCCAACGCCGACCCCTTAATTCTGAAGAAAAATGCTTTAACTACTGCGCCAAGCCTGTGTTTTTTAACCATCGTGCCAAGATTGTATTTGTTAGCCACTGCGCCAAGGCTGTATTTGTTAAAACTGCTTTAACCATTTGAATTGTTGTAACTGTAGCATTAGTTTTCAAGTTTTTAAAAAACGCAACTTTTTTTTTTTTTTTTTTGGGAAAATCAAGTTTTTCAAAAAAAAAAAAAAAAAATCTTAAAAATTTTTTCGAATTTTTTTTTTTTAGGATTTTAAACATAAAATTGTTGAACTAAAAAATTTATTAATAAAAAAAGTTACATATATTTTAAGAACATAATAATATTTTAAAATATTTAAGAAGAGCCCAGAGTCAAAAAATAAAAATAAGTGTTTCTATTTTCAAAAATGATCAGTTAAGAACAATTGACTACGAAGGCTGTTAATTTAAATTACATAAAAGAGTTTGCTTCCAAAATTACTATAGCAAATATTTATAGCCGATACTTTTAATAATGTTTTGCTGTAAGTTAAATACATGATAGCATTACAATACATTACACTATTTTAAAAATATTTTTTTCAAGAACTCAAAAATTGATAAAAAAAAACAAACATTCAATATAGTTGCAAATTTAACCAATTTTATATATTATATTTTAAAGTCAAAAAATATATACAAATGTAAAACTTATATACAAACATAAAACTTTTTGAAAATGTTATTAATAAATGTTAGTAAACATGTAAAAGCAATTAACAACCTTCATTTCAAATAAAAAAAAATTTCTTTTTCAACGATTTAAAATTATAAATTATTTCTAAATCAATGAAAATGTATAATTTTTTTTTTCAAATTTCACTAACTGTTATTTATAAGAATGTTATTATTAATATAAATGTGTTAATGTATAAATAACTGTATGTTAAAAAACTCAATAGTTCAAATTACTGATTTTTTCACAAAATTTCGATTATCAGTAACAGTAGTAGTAGGTTAGTTTAAGAAACGCCCAGTTAAAAAAAAATACTTAAATATTTTTAATCAAAAGTTTTTAAAAAACGAAACGCATAACTTTATTTTAATAGTCAAATTGGAACTTTTAATTTTAAGAAAAATTTTGATGTGATTTTTACACTTGTGAGTTTTTCAAGAAATTTTCTTGAAACTATTACAGTGATAACTTTAAAATACTGAAATGTTCCAATACTATTGGAACATTTCAGTATTTTATCGATTAGAAGACTATAGGCAATAGTCCTCCCATCGATAAAAAGTTTGATTTGAAACCAACGAACATAATATACATTTTTTATTGCAAACACATACTACCTTGTTTCACTCACATAATTAAATAACACGATTAAAATATCTTCTTAAAACTTATTATTGCAATTTAAATACTTTTAACACTAGGCTCTCAAATGTAGGGTTGCCAGACATCCGGATTTTACGAAGGAGAGCAGAAAAGTTATTTTTACAGGTTTGGCGCTGTATTCTCCTCCGTAAAAGCCGGACGTCTGGCAACCCTACTCAATTGCTACAAATGAATTTTGCTTTCGATAAATATTGCATCATCCAAAATAAAGTTTTCATTGATGTCAGATTTTTTAGCAAATAATGGAACACCAGCAGCAATATTCATTTCACGGACTGGTTTAATAAAACTAGAAGAGTTCTTATCTGGAGTAAATGACTCTACAATATCATATTCGGGATTTTTCGCTCGCAATCTAAAAGTTACTTTGTTTTGAAATGGCCATTTATGCAGAGAATCATAATCTGATTTCATCAGAACAAAAAAAAGAGAAATGTAAGATCCCTTGCCTGCTCCGTCTCCATTCAAATACAAGCGAAGACAATACTTGTAGCCAAAGCGTGACGTATAACACGGAGCACTGTGTAATGCTGGTATAGTTCCAGACATTGCAGCCATTGATCTTTGTTTGTAAGAAGATATTTTCCACAAAAGATGTCCATCATAAGACGTATTTTCTAGAATTTGTTGACTAAGTTGCAAATCGCTGTATGTTTCATTTAATTTTTCTTGAGACCTTTCAATGACACTTAATTTTTTACTGAAATCATCAACAGGTTTAAAGTTAGTTTCTTTTAAATCATTAACCTGCAAACTTAACGCTTGGAAAATACTCGCACTTTCATCTACTTGTATTTGCACAGTTTTCTTTAAATCAGTTATCTCTTGATCATATTTTTTTACTGATTCCAACTGCTGACGAAGTTCAAGATTTTCATTACTAAGTTTGCTTACCTCGTTTTTTAATGTCATTTGTATTAAAGACATTTTTTTAATAAAACACATCAATAAGTTGTTATGAGAACTGATCTGAAGCCGATAGTGATCTTCAACTGAGCTGGTTAACTAAAAATACAATAATGAAAATATATAATAATTTAAGGACCCGGTTACTTGGCTAAAAATTTTTGTGACAAATCATTTAAAATTATTGTGCTTCATTATTAAAAAAAAATTAGTTTTAGAAATATCAAAATGCTTTAAAAGTACCAAAATATATCAGTAAGTTTGCGAAAAACAAAATTTGCGTATATACTTAAAGGATACAACGACGAAAGATTTATTTTGAACTATTGCTTATTTGTTTTATTTATAAATTTTATATTTTTCAGACAGTATTTTTTTATCCTCTTTTAGAATCTGATTTTAAAATAATATCTGAATTTGAGTTTTTTGAACTGTATTAATTTCAGTAAAATGACTTTTGTGGGGTATATTGGGACAAGTTATTTATATAATTGACTATATTACTACCATTTCGTGATGCTGATCATAAAAAATGCTTTTATAAATGAGGAAAATATCATTTTCCTTATTTAAAAAAGCAATATTAGTAATCAATTCAAAGAAAGTGTTGTTTTTATAACTTTACTTCGATTATTAATAGTGTTTAATGTAAACAAAGATGGTAAAAAATTATATAAGAAATATCAATCATCGAATATAAGATGAAATGCAGTTTTAGCTGTGAGTAAAATAGAACTTAAAATTAGAAAAGCTGCTGATACATATGGCATATTTAAATTTGTTCTACATTGGCATATTGCTAATAAGCCAACTCATCAAAAATGTTTTCAAACAGTATCAAGATATTTTGTGTGTGATTTATTTAATCCCTAATATTTTTTGTTTAATTTTAAATTTAGTAGTAGTTACCCAATATATATTAATATATAGGTTTGGGTAGAGCAGAGGTATTTTATAATTAAACACAAAAAGTTTTTTTTATTATATTTATTATTTCTTTTTTGCGGTGTATGAGTGTGTAGTTTATATGGGTATGATACTTTTTTGAAAGTTTAATGACTGAACATGTTTAAATGACGTCATTTTCTATCATTTTTAAAGCTTTACATTTAAGAAGTAACTGCTGCTTTTCAACTGTACCGTTTCACCCCATTTTGCTAGTCTAGAGTTTCGTTACTTTGCTTGTGGTAACTTATTTTATGAAATTAATTTATGTTTTTATCGTCTTTTTTTCTTATATCAATGAATCTTAGGAAATTTATGAAAAGCAGCGTTAACTATGATTAGTTTATCTGCAACTAGGATTTGTTTCTAAAGTGTCTCTATATGCCCCGCTCTACTCTAAAACTTTAAGTTTTCTTTAAACAAAAAAAAACAAAAACAAAAACAAACAAACAAAAAAAAATCGAAAAACATTTTACTTTAAGTTTCAATCAAATTAAGATAAGATTTGAAAAACGCAAAACACAGATAAATTTGCGTATAAAAATATATTACATACTTACAGACATCCTGAAAATGTTCATGTAATATAAGTTTAAAATTTTTTCAACCTTCCAAAAATAAGTGATATAATATTATCAGTAAAATAAATAATAAGTTGAATTTATAATAATTAAATATGTAGTGTTTTATTCTAAACAAACAAAAAAAAAAGAATTCAATTAATTTAATTCTACAAAATAAATATTTTTTGTATTAATATCTCACGTATAATTTAAGACATTACCAAACCAGTTGTTGTTGATCTTGTGATTTTAATAATTTAATAGTTTTAAGAAAACGAGAGATCAAACCACGCAGCTACTTGCTGTCTCAACACTTCACCTTTCCCTTCCACCTTTTTACGCATTCGTATGCTTTTGAGTAACCCCCTACCACCCATAAATGCGTACGTACTTTATGAAAGACTCTTGACCGAAGAGATTACATTACTACAGAATATACACCAGGATTAAAGTCTGTTAATTATGTTAAGGTATTTCAGCTGTTATATTCAATAATATAGGGTAGAGCGTGAATAGATGAGCATAGGGGCAAGTTGGGCAACTAAAATATCTCAAAAACTACTCATCACATGGCAAAACATCTAATGGATAAAAGATAAGTATTTAGAATGTTAACAAAATGCGCATCAAATGGTTGTTGGACCGCGGTTTAGTAAAATGCACGGACACTTTTTTGATTTTGGACCAAAAAAATCAAAAAAAAATATTTTTGGTATTTTTCTCTTAAATACTTAAAAAAACATTTATCTGGAATCACTTAAGTGTTTATTTTTACCTATTTATTTGCCTGTTGATTATACTTATCCTTTTCCCTCCAAGCCTTATAGTTCTTTTTATAACCTGAGTCGTCGCCTTGTCTAGAAGGAGTAAGTTGAGCAGATTTGACAACGATTATTTAATATTTTTATATTATTACTGTTGTTGTTATTATTACTATTATTATTGCTATTATTATTGTTATTTTTATTATTATTAGAATATATACTTTTATAATGGCTACTATTATTTTTTATCACTATAATCACCACTATTACTTTTATTACTATTTATTTAGTCTGACAGATATTTACTTTATATTAGTACAAATTACTATTTGTATATATCCTTGATATAACAACTATATTCAAAATATATTTGATTTGATTATTGTTTGATCAAAATATATTTGATTTGATTTGAATAATAAAACGGCTCTATCAGACGCGAAGATTAAATTTCGTTATTTTAAGGTCCATTCACTTTTAAGGTCCATTTTAAGGTCCATTCACACTTTTAAATTAATCATAATAAAATACTCACAACAATTATAAGGTAATATCTATTAATTTATTTAACCATGAAATCAAAAATTACAATTTTAATTATAACTTACAAAGTTAGGTTCGGTGTCACTCATATTGTTAAAAACTAGTCAATAAAATAATAAAATAAACAAATAAAATAAGAAAATATTAAAACAAGGAAATAATAAAGAAAGTAAACTACATTAATAAAAGTAATAAAAAAAGAAGTAATAAAAAAAGAAGTAATAGGAACAATATTAAAAAAAGTTGGAATCAGAACAAAAATATAAAAGAGTAAGGCTAAGAAAAATTAAAAAAAAGAGAGAATGAATGGATGATATAAGATGAGTGAGAAAAAAAAGAGAAAACAAAAATTTTAAGTTCAGTTAAAAAACATAAATTCAGTTGGATAGAGTAAGAGAAAAAAGTTTTTGCAGAAAAAATAAAAAAGCAAAATAAAGGCAAACTTAAATAAAAATATATGCATACACCTAGGGTTGCCATATCACTGAAAAAGAGGAGATTTTACACAGTGGCGGGTTTTAAGAGAGAAGGGAGGAGGGGGTAGCCCTCCTCCCTTCCCTTAGGACTATTTTTCAAATAATTCTTTTGTAAATTGAATATTATACAGAATTGGACTACTATACTGACGAATGAAATTGACTATTATACGTAATTATACGTATATGAACTTGATTATTACACTTAAGTACAAAAAATTAAAAAAAAGTTACTTAAAAAATGAAAATATGCAGACTTTTTTTTTTAAGACCTTTTTAGCTTCCTTCTTGGAGAGTGACAAAACCAGCCCCTGATTTTACAATACATGTTAAATGAATGAGAATCCTTATTATTTAGCGAGGCATTGCCAGATTGACCTCTTTTGTGAGAATTAAATAAATAATAACCCATTTTTTTAATTGTCATTTGCTTTTTTAACACAAATTGATGGTTTTACAATTAAAATTAACCTAATTTTAATTGCAAAATGTTCACATTCAATTTTATTGTTGTCTCACAATTATTGACTCTTGATGAATTAAGTCTTATTAGTTATTCTATATTAAAATATATCATACATATAAATGCAAGCCAATAATTATTTTTCCATTATTTAACTTGTCTCTATTGTCATCTTGTAACCATTATTCACTTGTATATTACTAATCACTTAAATCAGTTATCAATTTCACTGTTATCGACTAATCATTTGTTGGAACAGAGCAAGAACTATAAACAGGGGAAGATGAATCATACCAACTATACTTTTTTGTTGAACTTATCTTTTTCAATAAGTCTTTGTTTGATAACAAAAAGTTATTGAACTTATAAATTTGAAAATTGGTCATGGCTCAATGATTTATTAACATTAAAAAAAGGCTTTTTTGTTTACAATTAAGTCTTCAACTTGATCCCAAATAGGGATACTGTCAAGTTTCATTCAACTTAAAGCTTTTAACTCTTGTTATTGAGACTAATAACAGGTTAAAGGTTACATAATTTACATATTCTTGGCTTAATTATGATTGTAAGATGAATTAGATAAATACAATTAACATAAGGTAATTTGTTTGATAAATAAAATTAACATAAGGTAATTTATTGAAAATGCTCACACGTGCTGTGTGAGTATTTTCAATAATTTGTTACAATGACTAAAAACATTTTACATTTAATAGTTTTTACATTTTCAGTTCCATACATTTAAGCATTAAATATCGAATTTTTATAAAAATTAAATAAAAACTTCCAAAAAGAGGAGATTTTATATTTTTTCCTGAAATCCCTCGGAACATTTTTTTTTGCTTAAAAATCCGGAGATTTTCGCGCAAATCCGGAAATATGGGAGCCCTACATACACCACTACATACAATAATAAAATCTATATTACGCATTACATAGATTAGTTAAACAAAAGTAAATCAAGATATAGAAAAAGCAACAACAACTAAATTGGCAGAGAAAAATGCAAAAAAATAAATATATATAAATTCAATATTTTTTATATACACGACAAAAACAATGTACAAAATTAATTTAAAATGTTCTTTTTCTTTTCTTTCCATAAAATAATTGTGGTAGAAAAAATACTTAGTTCTTTTTTATTAACTTTGATGACTTTTTTTTTTTAACTTTGTTTTTATTTGTTTTGGTTTTTTTTCTTGCTTTTTATTTTTATTCAATCAAATCCTTTATTCTTGTTTATACACTTATTTTTAAACTTTTATTACCAAAATGTTTTTTGATTTTTTTTTTACTTTTTACCGTTAAACAAACACTTCCTCCATTTGCGATGTCATTGCAAAGA